GATGGTTGGAGAGTTCCAGAGGTGCAGGGTGGTTGTCACCTACTGGGTTTATGACTGGTTTGCATTGCAAGATCTGGTTCTATACTGAAATCAAATTTGAAAAAAAAAACAAACCCTGTCTTGAAAAAATGGCAGAAGTTGTGCAGACTTAGGGATTTGTGGGTTTATGTGAGAGGAGAAGAAGAGTCAGAGGTTGGTCAGGTGTAGAGAAAAGGTGATGGGGAACTAGGCTGGGTGACACAATCTTTACAGTAACCTAATGTCCATCAGCAGCTGGTGGCTGCTCCAGCCCAGATCAGGGGAAGCAGGACACAGCAAACATCAAAGCTGACTTACGATTTACTGAGCTGCCCACATCTGTTCCAGTAGCTGTTGCTTACTCTAATTACTGGGGAATGAGCCAATTGCTCTGTGAAGTCTGCATAGCAACAGGAAACTGTTGGGAGTAAAACAAAGATCTTGCATTAAGTGTTCCTTTTTAACACTGTCTTTGGAAGACACAAAATGTAAGATTAATCTGGTTTGAACCATAACGTGGTAAAGTCTCTTAGTAGTAACTAGAAGATGTACTCAAGCTCTAACAATTTTGGATGTGAAAGTGGCAGTGTAAATGCCAGGTGAAGCAGACTGACATAAACAGTGCTTTTGTCAAGTTGTGCCCAGAGAGTCCCAAGAATTTTACCAGTGTTCTGCCAGATGGCACATCCTGAGGGATACTAACTTTGAAAACTATCAAACATTTAAAAAAGGACTTGAAGAATTTTAATAAGTACTGTACTTTGCTTACAATAGAATTTCGATTTTAAATTTTCCCATTTGGTGTCTGCTGCAATTGATTCTTATACTTAATTACAATAAACCAAAATAATCTTTGCTGTAAACATTTTTAAGCAGATGGAACTACAAGAAAGGCAAACAGCATCAGAATTTTGAAAAGAAAATAAATAAAGTCAATGAGAGTTTTACAGCTGACTTTGTTAAGACCCAGAATCTTACTCTTGGTTTGCATGCAGCAAAATGCCAATGAAGGAGGCTTTTCAAGTACAATGTATACTCCATCTTATGTATTTTTTGAGAAATTAGGGAAAATGCCAAAACAATTAGTGTGTACAATGCTGTACTTCTTAACCATATTTGGAAAAAATTAAACCACTCTTACATTTAGAGTAGAGAGTGCACTCTTGCATATTTGGCTCGGGACCTGGCTTCAGTTTTTGGGTGTCCCCCTCCAGACATCCATATTTTTGGCAGGTGGATGATGTTATGACAGCAAGGAGGGTGATAGCAAACCTCAGCATTGTTCTTTAGCTCTTTTTCCTGTATGGAGAGAAATCTTTGTTTACATCTTTTATTTCTAGGAGAACCCATAACATTAAAAGGAAGGACTGCATTTAAAATACTACATATATGATCAAATAAAAATGCTCAGCAAAGATGCACGCAGAAATACTAAGACACATTCTCCCTTCCTATTTGCTTATAACTGAACACTTAGCCTTCTGTTACATATTTCTGAGGTTTGGTGGCAAGTGATAAAAGTCATCAATTCAGACTATGTACGAAAACATGTTATAATTTTGAGTATTTAAGAAAATTATTTCAAATTTCTTCCACTGAGCTGAATTATTTGTTAAACCTTCCAAGAGACATTTGTATGTTTCACTAGATTTGAAGAAAATATTGATAAGTTCTAAAACCTGAAGAGTTTTTTTGCACACTTGGAAATTATGCATTAAATACAACTGCAAGTGGGATAGTAGTGTTCACCACCTGAGCTGGATAAATTACATTGAATATTCACCTTTGTTGAAGTTATGCTAATTTATATATAAGAATAAGATCTGTTGTTTTCTGCCTCTTTTGTAGAGTTTGGTCAAAAATGCAAGACAAAAATGTTTTGTCTTTATGACTAAAATTTCTCTAAACACAGGCTATACATTTGTCACCTATAAAGATAAATCTAGAACTTGTTACATATATCAATGCATTATTCTTTGTACATATGATTATTTTAATCCTTCATTCTTTAGTTAAATATTCCTGTTAACTTTTTGGAATAATTTTGTCTGAATAAGCACTGCAGTTCTTCTATGTACCTAGAGTTTTTAGATATAAAGAACAATTTATACAGAAGAAAAAAAACTATCTCTTCAGTTTCTCAGTAATTTCTCACCTCTTTTGCTTTCCTTCTGGGTGATACTTCTCCCTGGAACAGGAACACAGTAAATTGCTTTTCCCATTTTCCACTTTATATACACACCATCTGGCATCAGTGCTCCAGAATTTGTTTGCCCTGGAAGAGTTCCTTGACCCTTTGGAATGCTAACACAAATTTATCTCAAAAGCAGATGCAATGACCAGCACATAATGCCCTTTTATTGCTTGCAAACGTCGACATGATAAAGAGGAAAGTACAAACACGGGTTAGAATTAGAAAAACAATAGCTCTCCTATATTTCAAATGCCATTAACCCCTCCTGCTCGATTTTTCCTTGTATTATTAATTATTAAATTAATTTCTACAGCGGTTTCATGGAGCTCTCACCACAAATTCAGGCTTCAGTAAATTCAAGATATTAAATGCTTCTTATTTCAGCCTGACTGACTTAATTCTGACTAATGGCTTGCCTTGCTACTCAGTAATTTTACTACATTCCCTGGAAGATAGTCCATGTCTCCTGATTCCCAGTTCTTTGCTCTCTCTTCATAAGATCCCTTCCAAACCTGCTGCTGTTCACCCTGCTTGCTCTGTACCTGTCTCATAGGTACCTTACAACCAGGCTCACAAGCACTACAAGAAATGGTTGATTGTACCACAGATAGTGGCTCCTGATGGGATTTCATTGGGAAACCTGCTTTCTGCAAAGAGCATTTGCATCTAAACATAAACCATTGGTGGTGATGATAAATGGTTGCACTCATTTTCACAGGTTTTCTTGCTGTACTGTAAAGAGCAGCACCCCTCAGTACCTTGCAATTATTTATATACATGAGGAAAGCAGCATCTGTTGTTTTTTTGTTTTAAATAGAACACTGATTTGTCAGATAATACTCTGAGGCCATTATCTACTAAGCTTTTCTTTTTTGAAAATACAAACCTTGGCACAGTAGAAGTGTGGTATGATTCTCAGTGTGCAAAGGCATGATAATAAAACAATCTCTACAAGCTGTAAGCACTGATTCCTATTCTAGCTCTAGTAAATGCCTCAAGGTGAGTCTTGGTGGCCTAAAAAGAGCTTTTTCCAGATGAGTGGAAACTGAGCAATTTTCATGTTCCAGAATGAATTTAATTAAGGCAAATTTAGAGAATGAATTTAATTAAGGCAAGTTTAAAAAGGCATAAAGTAACTATAGTAGAAAATGAAGTCAATCTAATGGCTTATTACCCATGCTTTCACCTCATGTGGCTTGATCTAGTGTTGGCTGAAATTCATGGAGCTCCTTGCTGCTTTGCAAAGTAAAGGATTGGTGTGTGCTGCTCAACACTCAGATCTGTGCAGTCATACAAAATAAAGACCAAACTAAAATATGAACATTGACTTTCAATCCTTGTGAGGAGTGGACAGGCTGGCCAGCCTGGTGAAAACCACAGAAACAGTCCATGCTCTGCTCCTTCCTGCTTGGATTGTGAGAAGTTCATGGACACTGGTGAGGTGTCAGCATGCCAGGAGGTTCTTGTAATGCCTCTGCTCACTGAATTGGCATACAAATTATATTAAGCTATAGGAAACTGGGATTGCTTTCAGGCTTTGAGTTTGAGCCAAATGGGACCGCTTGCTGGGAGATTAGGCAGAGTTTCTAGCAGCAGGAAGGAAAATTGTCATATGTTTGTGATTTCCCAGACTTGGCTTTTGGTTAGCAGTACATGTAAGCAGGCTCAGGCTAAGGAGCTTTTAGTGATGTTGGCTATACATCATCTCATGAGAAGTGAATCTTGGTTCTTTTCTAAAAGTATTCCCTACCAATTGCTTTGTCTGTTATCTTATACTGGGAAATTTGTTAAAGGAATCTTCTTACTTCTTCCCATATTTGAAGGGGTCATTTATCTTAATTTGTTAAAATTTAAGTAATTTTCAAGCACTTGGTGATATTCTTGTACTTTAAAGATTCCTACTGCTGTTTCATTTTAACTTTAATATCAGTACCCTGTAACTTCTATTCATCTCTTCAGAAGCTAGAGTGAAAGCATGGATGATGTTGAGGTATTGCCACAGACAACATTTCAGGCACCACAACAATAAATTATCCTCATCTGATGATTTAATTGATAGTGGCCAATGGTGTTAGCAAACCCATGCATCTATTCCAAACCCACAAACACTGCTAAATTAGGTCTCAAGAGTCATCAACCTGAGCAATTTCCTTCTGGCACAAGGCAAAGGCAGAAAATTAGGGAAAAAATGTTTAAAAAATATAGTTTCTAATTTCCCCAGCTTCTGGCACTCAGTTTAGTAACTATGTGAACTGACATCTTGTACCTCAAAAGAGTGATCCCTGCTTTGTGAGTCAGATCTCTTTCATGACTGCAGCAAGCTTTCATGCTTTTATATTCTTGGTAACTCTGCAAAGCCGATGCGGTTAAGGGAAAAATTGTTTGTGCTTCCAACCAGTGACAATTGCCAGATCCATTTCCCTTCTTGGCACCCTGAAAGTGTAACAACAGTGTGATTGGAGGGAGACTGAGTTTCAGGAGTGTAAATTAGAGCATTTGGCCTGTTACAGCTTTATTAGACATGGCAATGTCTGCTAATGAAATTAATCTGTTTGTTCCTCATGTCTCAGCGTGAGTCTGCACGCTCAGAGGTTGGAAGTGTTTTTCTTGTTAACTGTAACAAAAAATGTAATTAGGAGAACAGGTTGTTATCTAATTTAATGACACTCCTTTAAATGCAGAACTGCATTTAAAGTAGCAACAAGAACATGTTATTTGATGATCACTGAAGTACATAACCTGGACTTCCATTATGTCAGACTTTAGAACTGAGAGTTTGTCTTCACAGGTCCTGGTTGAATGTATCATGTCACAAGTCAAGCTGAATGCCAGGGGAGACACTCCAGATGGACTCAGTCTGGCACTTCTGACTCTGGAGAAAAACAGCTGAGGTCAAATCTTAATGCTACTGAATCTGAGGTGTGATTTGTTTCAGCTCACTGATAGCATTTCTCCTATTTTTTTCTTGGTGTAAGGAATACATCACAGAACAAAGTAAGGCTTATTTGTTTTATTTGAGTACACAAATGTTGCTGAGCTAGTTCTCCAACAGGGCACAAGAATGACAAAAGCACCAGTAATTTTATATAATGGAGAGTGTGAGTCAGTGGTGGGTAAAAAAGCAGATATTTTAATGAATGGTAGGTTTGAAAAGGAATCACAACGGAAACCAACAAAATTAGAATTGTAAAAATGTCATTTTAAGCCCCATGTTAGGCATTTCAAAATTAAAGGGGACAAAAACCTACTTATTTCAGCTTATTACTGAGTTGAAAGCACCTCTTGAAAGCATAACAGAATGCTCTTCCTTTGCCCTAGTCTTTCATTTGCCTTTCACATTCTGCTAGTCTGTTACTGTGGGATTCCTTGAACCACTAACAATTACTGTTAGTTTTTCTACAAAGAAGGGTTTGGGTGGCTCCTGACTGGTGTGAAGGGGACTTTCACAAGTGACAAGGAAAATCTGTGTCCAATTTGACCTATAATCCAGAAATAACCAGCTGCAATCATGTTTTGAATTTAGACCATTAATATTTAACTGATTTTTCTACATCATTTATGTAGAAATCACTTATGAGTGATGAATTTCTTCTTAGGGGAATAGCAATACATTTAAAAAAAATTTACACTTGAATTATGGGTAATCATTATTTGAATAGAGATAATGCCTAGATGTCTCTGCCTAAAGTTGTGATGTAGCATTTTAAATACTTGGTGCCATTACTGGATTCTGGGTGGCCACGTCCCACAGTCCCCTCTGTGCCTTGATCCTGTACTGCCCCTTTCCCTCCATTGTCCTGGCAGAGCTCACATGAGATTGTGCACCCAGCCAGATGGGGAAAGTGATACAGCAAAAAGAAATCTAGTGCTCCCCTTGCCTCCAGTGTTTCTGTGTGAATCAGTTTCAGTTACAGCACAGCTGAAGAAGAGTTTTGTTGCTGAAAAGGGTGGTATCACACTGAGAGAGACACGTGAGGGTAGGACTGGCAGAACCTCAGTCAGAACTGCCAGCCTCTGTGCCCCACTGTGTTGACATTCTGTGCTGGTTTTTTTTAATTGTTACGTTGAACACCTTGTAATGAAAATGAAGAGCTGACAGGTCTATAGAGAAAACAAATAATGCAAGCACAAGGTAACAGTGAGATCATACTGGTCAACATATTAGAAGGCAGTGACTGGAAGCCACCAGATGAGTCACTGCTGAGCTTTTCCTGTTGGCATCACTGCAGGGACGAATGTTAAGGAGGACACGTTGCCTCGGATGAATGACTCCCATACATGCCATATTAGTCCTAGATAGCTTGACTCATTGTCCTGTGATGATTCTGTGGTTAGAAAATTGGCCACAAGACTCATGAAACAGGTGGTTTTTTGTCCAGTACCTTTGTTTACATTGTCATCTCTCTCTCTCTCTGCACCCCTCAAATGGCTCTGCTCTCTCTTGTATAAACCAAGACATGTTTTTGCTTCCAAATCTTTCCTCAGTTATCTAAGGCCCTCTTTGACTGTTCTCCTTCAACACAGACACCTTAAGTCTCTCGAAGTACTCCAGTGCCAGTCTTCCCAGCACATCTGTTGGATTTCCAGGGCTGCTGTTTTGTATTTGTCATCTTCTGTATGGGAGGCATTTCTGTAAGTAACAGTAGAACCATGTGTAATCCTCCCCTTGGCCCTTCTTAAATCTCATCTTTGTTTGGGTGCCAAAGAGAAGGTGACAACAGTTAGGATCTGAATATACTCCTGCTGGCCAATCTCTCCCCCTTCCTAATGTGCTTCTCTTTTTGGACCTTTCAGAAATACACACACATATAGGTATTTTTGTCCGGATATATTTTGTCCTCTGTTCACACACAGGGGTAGCAGCCCTACTGCAGCAATTGCTGTACAGTCAAGCCCAAACTGACAGAGAGCAGCACATTCACTGGTCTCTTCCTCTGTTTAAAGCTTTAATGTGTTTGATGAGTTCTTGTAGCTAAGAAGTGCTGTTAGCTTAGCACTAGGCTCTCCTGATACTTCACAACCATAATTTTTAACTTCTACTACGTATTTTCAGATTTTCATATTTTTATCTTCTATTTCCTTATCAGACGTAAATATACCTAAAACAAGGTTAGAGCAGTGCAAAGCTGTCACTTTGCAATACTGCATCACTGCAAACAAGGATACTTGTCCTTCATGGTATACGAAGAAGGAAAATAACTATTGGAAAGCAAATCATATCCAGTTATGACTGGAATTTTGCTATATCTAGATCTAGTAATTGCCATTCATATGTCTGCTGGTTTACTTCATTAGTCTGTCCCTAGAACAGACTAATAGTAGTAGTTTCCAGTGAAGATGCACTGGAATAATATATGGTATAGTATACTTTAATGGAAAAAAACCTGCTAGTGAGAAAGTTCTTCTGAATCCTCCTTAAGTCAATGTTTAGTTTGTGCCTTGAAACAGAACTGTTCACAACCTTCCTGTAAAAAATCCTTATGTAACGATGAGTATTTTTTATTAATTACACAAATGTCTAAAATTTGTACTTCTTGACCCTGGGATGAGTTCAGCTGGTCAGAGCACAGTGGTGATAACATCAAGGTTGTGGGTTAAATCCCTGTGTGGGCCATTCACTTAAGAGTGAGCTTGATGATCCTCGTGGGTCCCTTCCAACTCAGAATATTCTGTGATTCTCAAACAGCAGACCTCACTAGATCCAGATGATGAGAAATTTTGCCTAGATTGTGTCAAGGTCCCACACTTACAAATTCTCCTGTGTTCTTAGAGAATCCTTTGTTTCTCACTGTTTCCCTGGAGCTTGGGGGTACTGATGGGGAGCTGTACTCTGTAGCTGCACTCCTGTGCTGTGCAGGCAGCTGGCTCTGTGGGACTTTGTTACCTGTATTTTTTATTTTGGTTATAACTGGTATTCTCTAGTTGTATCATGCTGGTGTTGGTTTTTTTTTTCTTTTTTTGTGAATCTTGAAGAAAGAATGCTGTCACATGCGTGGAGTTGGGGAAGCTGGCAGGAGTCAGGGTGATGACATGCAGCCTGTTAATTACTCTGTTAATTACTTGTCATTCCTGACACTGTGCAGGTACAGCACCACATGCCGCAGTCCCGTGCCTTCCTCCTGCCTGACTGCACATTGCCAATTGCTAAACATTAGTATTCCAGTGCAAAGCCCAGAACTTGTCTGTGAATACCATTAGAAGTGGGTCACTAACAGAAGGTGTGTGACAGATTCACATGCAGAACAACCAAAGCCATTTCCTCCGTCTCGTACAGAGCACAAACACTGAGAGGGAAGGCTGTGTGTACAGTGTGAGTGGAATGACAAATGACAGGATGCAGTGATAGACTTGTTTGATGGCATTAGTGAAGCAGTTCTGCCTTGGAAACAGTGGAAGCAGGTGATCAGCTGGGCTATGTGTGCCACTGATTTTGCCAAATGGTCAAATTTAATAGGGATTCAAATGATTAAGTATTTCATTTTGAAGAGAAAATTCTCTTGCTCAGCAGAATGACTTCTACTATTTAGCATTTTCTATTCTGTTTGGAATAAAGAGGTTTTAACCTCACAGCTTCAGTCTGCATATCTGTCTTCCAGCTCCAGGAATTATTGCTGTAGCTGTGGGCTAAGCAGTCATAAAAATGTTGCAGAGGAATTTATCATTCCAGAAAACATGGAGTGAGTTCGAGTAGACTGTGTTCTGCCCTACCAAAGTCCCTTTAAACCAGCTAGAGAAGAATGGAAGGGAACTTTTCCTGGCAGTATTATTCCAGCTACCTTCTGAATCAGAAGAGCATGCTGAGACCTTTTTTATATGGAAAAAACCAAGGTGGAAGCCAGGGAAAGGCAGTATCTGGAACTGCAAAGAGAAACTGCATTAGCTGAGTGTCAGCACATGAGCTACACAGACTCTGTGGTGCCCTGCTCTGTGTAGATAATCTAAGAATCATTCCCTTTATAACCCTTTATTAATTATTTTTCCATATTTTTTTTGATGTGACAGAAGATTTCTGGAGACAAACATCATGGGCATTGATGTAGCACCACACCACGCTCTGCCTCATTCATCTGTACTCCTTCTCCCTGCCAAGCCTCTCATGATTCGTTCACTTTTATTTAAAGCTGGGAAAAAAAAGTTCAGAAAACTAGCTCATATGGAAAAGAAAAATCAGGTCACTCAGACTGGTCTGCAGATTCAGGTCATATTCAGTGACACGTTTAAATGGAAAAAAATATGGGAGAATCAGTAAAATGAGGAGTATTTTTCCTATTCTGTTAATATGAAACCTCACTGTTCTTTTGTTTCAAAAATATTGGAAAGACATTTTGAATCCAAAATACTAAACGGGGATTAAACAGAGAAGGAAATGAGCCAGAAGCAAACCAAACACAATCTCTTTGCAAATAAAATGTCCTATTAACTCCCAAATGGCTTTTTGATTTGGAGAAATGAAAGATATTTTTAATTTTTAAATTAAAATACAGAACCAAAATGCAATTATTTTCAATTCTGTCTCAAATGAAGAGCTGAAGGTTTGTTTCTAACATGTTTATTTGTTTAATATGTTAGACAGGTAATGTTATACACATCCTCATTGTGACTTTTCTTCCTGTGTGCATGGAAGAATTCCTTTCTGGCACACAAAGCAAACAGGTGTGAGCCAGAGCAAGGTGTCCCACAGGCCATAACCAACAAATAACTAATTGGCATCCATGCTGCAACAGGGCAAAGATCCAGCCAAATTATGATGAGGCACTGTGCCATCCTAATAGACTCACATTAACAAGGACGCCAAGATTCCATAAATTTGCATTATTTACATTTAGTTAGAACAGGGTTCCCAGCTGGGAAGTTCCACATGGTTGTCCATCCTGATCATATACAATTATGATGGAAAAAGACCTCTCTGACTAATCCAGCATCCTGAAATAGTTTTCAGCAAGCATTTAAACATTAATAATTACTTAAAAATGCTCCCACTCTTCTACCTCAATAAATAATTGGGAATTGTATTTTTGTTCTTTGTACAAAATGAATAAAAAATTTATACAATTAGATTTCCTGGTTGAAGATGTATGAGCCTTTTCAGCTTGGTAAAATGGAAAAATGAGTTATTTTTTCTGCAGGAGCAGCAAGATTCCTGACTACGTAATAGTGAAGGAAAAACCCCAAAACTTCAAAGTTGCTTTTGTGAAAAATGAATGCGGAAACTGGTAACTTAAACCCTCAAGAAATAATTTGCAAAACCAAAAATGCCACCAGGGTGTGAACTACCGAGATGGAACACGAGGTGATGATATTCTCTTACTGCTCCTTGAGGTAATGAATCTCTGAAGGTTCGTCTTTTCTGCTAAGATGGTGAACTACATTTTAATCCACACCCTAAGAAGTGGAGGGGCACAGCTGGTGAACACTTTCCTGCAGCTCGGAGTTCCTGTGGAGAGATGTGGGATGCCCAGACCGTTCTCCACTCGCCTGGGCACTGCGGATTTGGGGCTTGGATCCCACCGAGTCTTGCTGGAGGAAGTCTGTGGCATTTTCCCAATGCGACTGTCTACGTGTAACATCATCTGGAAGGTCTTGCACCCTCCTGAGATTTTCACGGACAATTAAGAATTTATTGACAGGGAAGCTGGATTGTGCTGGACATCTGAGCTGATCTCGGATCACAACCATAGGGACAGGATGACGCACAGAAAGTTCTACCTGAATACGAGGAAGAACTTTACTCTGTGGGTGACCACACACCCGTACAGATTGCCCAGAGAGATTGTGGAGTCTCCGTCCCGGGCGATGTCCCAGAGCCGTCCGGATGCCATCCTGTGCCCCGTGCTGGAGCAGGGAGGCTGGAGCAGATGAGCCACTGCGGTCCCGTCCAGCCTGACTCACTCTGTGATCCACAGAATGGCAGAATCGCAGAGTGACAGCACGGTTCAGGCTGGAAGGGACCACAGTGCCTCATCTGCTCCAATCTCCCTGCCCCAGATCCCGAGGCACTGGATGGCATCCAGACGGCTCAGGAACATCCTCCGGGAGGGAGACTGATTCTGTGGGACACGAACGCTGCCCTCACGCCCGCGCGACACTCCCGCAAGAGGCATCCTCATCTCACACCGCTCAGCCTCCTCCTGCGAGGCAGCCCCGGCACGCACGCAGAGGCTGTTCCGCCCGGCAGGGCCACCGCTGGCCAGGACAGCCCAGCCCGGACCCCGCCGCGGAGCCTCCCCGGGGACCCCCGCACCCGCCCGCCCTCAGCGCCCACGAGTCTCGCTCCTCCTCCCGCGGCTCTCGCGATAGCGGGCGGCAGGCGGCGCGCGGGGCGGGAGGGGGGCGGTGCCGCGGCGGCCGCGCTCGCTGACAGGCGGCGGGAGCGGGAGCGCGCGGCATGTCCGCGCCCGCGCGCCCCGCGCGCAGGTGCCCGCGGCCGCCCCGCCGCCCCGGCGCTCTGTGACCGCCGCCCGCTATGGGGCCCCGGCCGTGCCGCCGCCGCCGCTGAGGAGGAGGAGAAGAGGAAGAAGAAGAAGCGGCCGCCGCCGCCGAAGCCGCCGCGATGAGGAAGGGCCGCTCTCGGGGGGACAAAGCGGCGCCGCCGCCGCCGGCGCGGAGGGAGCCTGGGCGGGCGGTGTCCGGCACCGCGGCGGAGCGCAGAGCCGCCCTGCTGGGGGGCGGCGGCAGGAAGGAGCCGGAGGATGCCCGGGCCGCGGGGGCGGCGGAACGGGTAAAGCCGGGGCGTGGGGCGGGGGTCGCTGTTGTTATGGAGACGCGCCCCGCGTGGCGGGGCCGGTCCGCGCCCGCCCCGGGCCGGGACCGGGGCGCTCCGGCGGGGGGGAGCGGCGGCGCCCGGTGCGGCGGCAGCCCCCGAGCATCCTCGCGCGCTCCGTGCGCGGCTGCCGCAGGTAGATGCCCCCAGAGGAGCGGAGGGTGGGAGCGGTGGCGTGTCCGTGTCGGTGCTGACGGCGTGGCGTGAGTGAGTGAGTGAGTGAGGGCTGCGGGAGCCGCGGTGCCGGGAGTCTGCCCGCGTGCCGCGGAAGGCGGGGGAGGATGCAGTGGAGTCGGGTGTGTGCTGTGTGCTGGCTGGTGTTACTAATCGCAGAGTACATCTTTCTAGTAACCCTCTGTGGGTCACTCCTAATCGCGATGGTAATTATGATGCGTTTTCCAGCATTTTAGGTCTTAATTCCAGAAGTGGTTTGTTTAGGAAACATACCGTACCTTTGCAGAGACTTGAAAATGCGCAGGCTTGTTACATGTGAGAGTGTGTAAGTTCAGCATGTCCACTTTCACGTCTTTCATACCCACAAAAATAAGATCTACTGATTGGTGTTTAGGATTACAAGGATGAGAGACCAGAGAGATACTAAATCAAGTTTAGGATCATCAACACTTTGGTTTGGTAGGTCCTAGTTCTACAAGAGATAAAAATGGGAGATGACACTTAGCAGTGAAAAAATGTAGGTGAGAACTAATGCTATTTTTTTGTTTATTTGAAGAGAAGGAGAAAGTATCACAAGTATGAAGATTCCTGGGATGCAGTAATTCATTGCTGTGTTTTGCCATTTTTTGGAGCAAAGAGAAATTCTAGGTTCTTTGTCAAAAAGGTGTTTTAAGTTTACGTCATTGTTGCAGATGCACAGGTTTATGCTGTTAAAAAATAATTTCTTAGATTTTTTTCCCTAGAAAAGCTGGATTACATTGCCTTCAATTATGGGAGCCTTGGATTTTGGCTTTGACTAATGGATATCTCTTGAATACAGATTTATCAGACTGGGCCCTTGAAGAGACCTCTATCATTTTATTCTCTAGTGCTTTGTTAAGCCAGGTAGTTAAAAGGGGCTGCTGCTTCTGATGTTTATTCTTTCCCGAAACAACTAAGGAATACTATAGTCTTCATTCAGGGAAGAAAATCTAAAATCAGAAGAGGTCTCCTGGTATCTTCCCAGCTGTCAGTGAAATGGGCAAATTTGTAGGGCAACCAAATGCAGCAACAAGGTGTTTGTTGTACTGTTTTGACGTATTGTTTATGATACTGACATGGAAATTGAAGGAAATTATTTCTATTCTCGGTGGTGTGAATGAAACTTACAAATGGTACACACAGAACATGCTATGTCTTGAATAATGTATTGAACACTTGGGCAGTTTCACTGAAACAACCCCAGTGCTGCAAACCAGGAAAGGTGCAAATTCAGAAGTGTCAGTTTTTGAGATGCACCTGGCTTTTTAATGGGAAATAGTGCCAATCTGTGTTTAACTTGGGCGCTCTGACTAGGACCTGAAGTGACTTGTAAGAACAGATCTTTGTGTGCTGGCAGGTATTCGGTGTGTTGGAAGAGGAATTTTTCAGCTGAAGTTAAGAAACTCAACCGTGTGTGAGATACTCCCCAAACTTCTAAGGAGAAGCTCTCATCCTCTCTCCCCTTTTGTCTTTCATTTAAGGTTTTGTAAGTGTGGTAAACAGCTGCAAATAAATGGGTGCGTTGGACAAATGTGACAAACAGCATTTCTGTCTTGAATACCAATAATTCAGCATTTATTTAAATGTTGGTAGTGTGCGTGTGGTAAAAAAGGCCTTCTGAGATGCAAAAGACAGTGAGACACTCCATTTTCACTGATCCAGCCTGTAGCTTGACAAGTATTTCCTTTGGGGCCCTTCTGATTTAAGTAGCCCAGTTGTTCCCAAGTCTGTAATGTGCCCTCAGCAGTGCCAGTGCAACAGTGTGCACAGCTGCAGCAAACCATTCTGGATTAAATTCAGATCTCTTTGTTTGCCATACATTTGCACAAGTTTGTGGCTGGGAGAGGCTGAGCTACTCCAGTGTTGAAAAAAATCCATATCAAGCTGTGACTGCAGCAGTTAATCACTGTACTGACCTTAAGGCCTTTGAAAATCTGGTCCTTTGCTCTGCTTGTAGTTCCGACGTGCACACGATGAATGTTTGCGCTTTCTCGTGCGTTATGCAAGAATTAAGAGTGGCTGTGCTTGGGCACATTAAAGATCCCTCTCGCCCAGTATCCTGCCTCTCCCAGCTGCCAAGAACAGATGCTTGGAGAAGAGTACAGTGTATATTGAGGAAATGCCTCTCCCAGCCTCCAGTAATTTGTGGCTCATAGGTTTCCTGAACCAGAGGTGATATTTGTTTTTAGAGCCCCCAGTGGGTTTTTTCTTCTATGAATTTGTCCAATTAGTGTTTGAAGCCGGGTATGCTTGTAGCATCCACAACATCCTGTGGCTGAGTTGTAGGGCTTAAACACATTTTGTGTGGAAAAAACACTTATTTTTGTTTGCTTTTAAACTTTCTGCCTGCTTGGTTTCATGCCTTGCTTGTACCTTCTTGTATTGGAAGATGCAGTGAAAAGGAGAATCTATGTTATTCTGTGTGCTTTATGGGTTGATGACTTTTATTTACCATCCCTTGCTTATGACTTTTCCAGAGGCTTTTCAGAAAGAAGTTACTCTACCCTTTCAATGTCCTTGCTGTCTTCTTTGCACCTATTGCAGGTATGTTTCTGAGTGGAGACAGTGATGCAGGAATCCAGGGAACAGGGTTGGGTTACAATAACCAGGACCAGCTACAGTATTTCAGCATATGCTGCCCAATAAACTTACATGCATATTAGATTTCATTCTTTAATCTTCTGCATGCTTTTTTAGACAATCTTTAGGCGTTGAATTGGCACTTCTGTGGAACTATAGTATCTCCAGTCACTCTTTTAAGTGGTAATACCTAGTTCAGAACTTGTGATTGTGTACATGTTTTTTAATACTATGCATAAATTTACAATTACCTGCTATTTTACAGCCCACTTAAACAGTATCATTAAAGCCTTCTTCAGATCTTTGGTCATTGCTTTTGCAATCTTCAATAACTTTAAGCATTGTCAGCAAACTCTGTCAAATAAGTGTCAAACTTCTTTGCTAGATTTTGCCTTAAAATATGGAAGGTGTCGATCCCAGAAGAGACCCTTGTGAAACTCCAGTGGTGATCCTTCTTTTTTGGGAAAAAGGCCAATGGCTCCAACTTACTTCCTGTTCATCAGTCATTAATTCATGACTG